ATAAAATCAGACTTTACATTACGGAATTTTACAAAGGGTGTATCTCGGAAACTATTCATCGGACGAGGTTCAAAAAAATCTCATTTTAAAGACAATTTTATAAGCTTCCACATAATTTCTAAACATTTTTCACCTCAGACAAATCAGAAGTAAGTTATTTACAAAAATGTACGCAGAAACACGTATAATAAAGATTTTTCAGCTGTATCTCAGTAATTATATATTAGCCGTATACAAACCATTAGAAGACCAAAATGCAGGGAATTTAATAATCTTTCGTTTTGATGATAACTATTTTTGGCGTAGGAGTAGCCGTATATAAGGTATTACCGATATACTAACGAGGAAACATTCTCATTTTCAAAATATTCACAAGTCAAAATGCCTTTAAAAAATGATATCTCCGGAACTAGCGATCGTACGACACTCAATAAAAACCCATTTTGTAGGTAATTAAATACTCTTTCGATCTTGTTATGTGCGTTTTGCACGTAGATGTATCCAAATTTGAGATATTCGCGAAGATAGAACAAATTTACGTAACGCTCGAAAATAAGAAGTCACTTAAAAGAAATCTATCTCGAGAACTATTGGTCGTACGAAGTATTTTTCAGGCTGCGCGAAATGGCGTGTAAACTTTCCTTGTTGTTGACAATTTAGGATCGATACAAAAATTAGTTAATTTTCATTTCGCGCGGCCTGAAAAATGCGCTATAATTACTTATTTAAATATTAACAACATTACGAAGAATATCACTACGTCGACTAGCCAACAGAGGTCTATAGTTACTCATTTCAATTCTCGCAAGTGCCGAATTATATGAGTGATTGTTTATATAAAACTTCTTTCTAACATCTCCCCAAGGCGTCTAAGGTAGGTTTCCATTACATTGCCTTACTGATGAGTCCAGTAGTGGAAACCGGGACGAAACGCCAACTTGTGATATTTTTCGTAATATGAAGAATAAAAAATATTAAGATCCAATTTATTTACGGAATTTTAAATTATCATCTTTATATTCAATTTGAATTAATCAAATATTATTCGATGATATTATAATGCTACTGTAGTATTTATGCGTTATATGTCTGATGTATCAGCGCGCATTTAAAGGGGGGGCTACATATGTAGTATATAAAAATTCACACATACTTATTACTAGCATCTTGATCCAGCTTAGACCGTTATTGGCGTGTAAACTTTCCTTGTTGTTGACAATTTACGGTCGATACAAAAATTAGTTAATAATTTTTTAAATTTTGTCTCATTTTTAAAAAAAAGAGTACAATAAGTGAAAAGTAAGAGTACACTGTTTTTCGACATCGAAAAGAGTACATGTACTCTTTAAAGAGTACGGTTGGTAACCCTACTCATATACGCACTACTACACACATACCTCGCCATCTTGTTGTTCCCATCATGGCCGAAACCAGAAATCCGGCCGGCCTCAGTTCTCTCGACTGTTTTTGACAAAGTTAGCGATCTAGTATAGTATAGACATCTGTGAGATGGATCCTTTTACAGGAATGTTACTAAGTGTGGTTAATTGTAACTGAATATATTGATATTCAGATTTATTTAACGATGACGATTCTGATGATGTGTGTAATTAATTTAACACTTTTATACATCGTTTGTATCGTCCAGTTCACACTTCGACACACTTCGACCGTTCAAAATAATTGGGTAAAAACGTGACGTCACGCAACGCTCGTAAACACCTCACACAGAGCGATAGCTCCAGCATTCTGAACGCACCCCTGTAGTGTCTCCTACGCCCAGTACGCGCGTATTGTATACCGAAGGTTTCATATTCCATGTTTATGCACTAAATTTTGCTACCGCATTGCACGTAGTCTTTCTTCACAAGAGAAGTAAAATTTGAACTCGGCAGCCATCACATTTAGCATTTTGAACATAATACATACATAAATACAAGCTACAAGCTCACTGATATGATCTCATCTTCTCTTCAGTGTGTTTTTTAAAATGCTACAGATAATTTCAATATTTGAAAATAAATATATGCAGTCACATAATGTATACTTCTGAGCGATAAACATCATCAGCTGCTATCGACAAAACGAATCATTTATCATGTCTCTTTTATTGGTAAACTATAATATCATGCAGGCTGTGTTCTGATGTCAGTGCTGAAAATCTATAGTGCATGTAACGTATACTACAGAGTTTAGATTTTTCAGTACCGACAGTGAATGTCGAAACGCAGCCGTTCTTGTACGAGAGCATTTCAGCAAGATATACATATATCGACACAGGAATCGTTTTGTCTTCGTTCGATATTGAATGAAAAACAGAAACATAATGACTCCTATGTCTTTTATTGGAAAGTTCCCATTATAAGCTGGACAAATCACCTTCTGTTGAGTTCCGGCGGTAAGACACTCCAATCCTCAGTATCGTAGTAAGGCCACATGGTGTGTGATAATATTAAATAGATAAGAAGAAACTTGGCTTACAGCCAAATAAAACGTGCACCGTACAAAAATCAGCCCATGTATCAAACAGAGTACAGTTGCGTGATCAGTTTTGTACATTCTTTATCACTATTATAATAAAGCATCGAGACAAGGTGTGGGCATTATCTCTTATCTCGGTGACTATCTTGATATCAGGCATTCACACTTACACAAATCCAAATCCTAGTGAGATCTGATAAATTATTTTACGACATGTTGCGAGTTCACTTAAATCAAAATACGCGCGTAACAGAATCGCAACGAACTTCAGTTCCTATTTCTTGTACTAATTCAATTGTTTGTTTATTTCTCCTGACAACCAAAAAGGATCGTTTCAAGTTGTCACGAATATTTTCTCGAGTAAAATAGATTTCATACAGTGAAAATTACAAAAGTTATTGTGGCCGAAGAGCGAGTTATTCATCCTTCAGGGGTATCGATTATGAAACTTTTTTCCTAGGATGAAAAGTGAAAAGTGAAAAATTTTTCCATTAACTTCAATGATAAAATATTTCACTTTTCACTTTTCATCCTAGGGAAATAGTTTCATAATCGATACCCAGATCTAGATAGTACTCGTCTACCAACCTTGGAAAGTTGGCTTGTTGGTTTAGACGATCTGAAGGATTTTCGGCACACGTTCTCAAATGGTATCAATAACGATACACGGCACATACGCATTCCTTTTTCTCAAGCCGGCTAAGCCAGACATGTTACATAAAACTGTTCTGGACGGAAGCGTATATTCTTTCATATGACTACCAAAAACCTTTATAGAAAGATATTTTACAGTATTTATGTTAAGTCCTCTCATTTAGTAAGTCATTTACATGCAACGTTTCAAGACGTACACTTCTCAATTAAACGTACATACTCAAGTTATATTTACAACAAAGAAGGCGCAATTATTGTTTGTCTTGATTCAATTAGTTATATCTTTCGTTCTCAATGATTATACATTGTCTTTCATATTGTGAGATGATTTCATTCATAAACTAAAACGATTGTGTTGATTAGAAAACTGAAATATATGAGATTTATGATATATTTCTTTCAATGAATATTTCAAACTGAGATAATTTTTCTTGCAAGGATCCTTGTAAAACTTATGATATTTTTCTTATATATCTGCTCGTGACATCTTTCTTGAATTTAATCAAACATCAAGATGTTTTATTGCTTAATTAATTTTATTATTTCCAGGTTAATTGAACTTATGTAAACATAAATTTGTTTTATTGTTTTAATATTTTATCTTTTTCAGATTAACATTTCAGTGAAATATTCATGACTGATTGTAATACATACATCTATTACTTACAAAATTTATAAGATAATGTTAAATTATATCAAGTAAGAATTATACTCTAAGACGAATTGCGTTAATTACACTTTTCATTATATTTCCTTATATTGTGATTTGAATTTATGCAGTATGCAAAATTTATATTCTGTATTTATTAAATATTATTCTCAACTTGACCGGCGTATATAATATCTTCTCGCTATCGAACACGACAGCATATTCTAAAAGATTTTTTAAAAATAAAGAAGTAAACATTCTATCCTACCTCCTGTGCAATTTTACTATACATTTATTCTATGTATATCTAAAAGGAAATAAATAATGTATATTCGATTAAAAAGAAATTTTTTATTCATAAAAACACTGTACATATGCGATATATCACAAATATGCAGTGCATTAATATCGCAGTGTATTATAAATATTTATATATTAATATAAATTACCAAAGAATAGAGATGTGTCACAGCTAAGATAAGGAATTGTCGTCTTGATTACGAGGCGGCCGTATATCACTGTTTCTTTTGACGCAATCCACCAACCAATGTATGCCTTCGTCTACTCCATCCCTTTTTCAGATGATGAACCGTTATTTTATGTAATAAAAGATTACTATTAGCTTTTATATATGTATACGCACGCACGCACGCACATATACGCACACACATACAGTGTCCCAATAACTATTATCATCTGAAGTATCTCCAAACCCCTATATACAGGGTTCTACAGAAAAACTTGTAGAACCAAAATTGCATGGTATGTACGAAGGGGGCTATTATATGATGGCGATAATAATTTTTTACTACAGATGGAAGCGCTTTGAAGAACTTTTCAAGATCAATTTCGTTTTTCCAAATAGAATAATTACAAGAATTTTATTTTATGTAGTATGATTCTTCTAATTACACTGCATATAAAAAGTATTAAGGTAAAAGTTTAAAAAACCAATAATTTACGAGATATTTTATACTTTATGCTGATACATATTGACATAAAATGCGAATTTTGATAATCATACTTTAATTCTTTATTTTATGTATAGACTAATGAGAGATAAATTTATTTAATGTAAAAAAAAGACATAATTACTTTAAAAAGAATATGTGAACAAAAATGGTTAATATTTTTAAATAAGCAATTATAAATTTTCTTTAAACCAATTGATACATTTCATTATTTTAGTCATAAAAGAATTAATATACGCAGGGTTGGCAAGTAACACGTTATTTGCAACGTCGTTACCGTTACAAATTACTTTTTTCGGTAATGAATAGATAGGTAACGGCGTTACATTTTTTTCGGAGTAACATTTTCATGATAAGTAGCTACATTTTAGGGGTAATCATGGTGTAATAAGAAAGGTGAGACATTCCCGTGGATGCGCAGTAGTACAGTAGTATACGGCTTCGACCAATCACGTTTGGGTCAAAATGCACCCGCAAAATTTAAATACACAAATAATAACATATAATTAAAATGTATTTCTATTTAAGATTAAATGTAAAAATATATAGAATTAATGTTGGCCTAAACAATGGCGAGGCAGGTCGTATTCAAATTTTGCGGGTGCATTTGGACCCAAATATGATTGGTTATACCACCGTCATTATGCGCAATGTCTCGCCTTGTCTTATTACACCATGGGGGTAATGATAACAATTTCACTAGTTACTTTTATCATTACTTTATTTCTAGCCACGTAAAAGTTTTTGTCGTAACTAGAACTATAGGAAACAATTAAAGATGCGACGTTAAAGGAACAAATCTGATTGGCTCTTTTAATCACGTAATCACGACGCCTTTCTTCACATTGTATTCACAGTTCACACGTATAGGCTGCGTTCCGTTTCACGCATTATGCGCATGATGTATTATTTTATCTTTTTTAAATATTCGATTAACAACAAGGATAAAATGATGCATACGCACTATGCGTGAAACGGAACGCACCTATAGGCTAACGTACAGCATGTAGACTGTATAGTAATGAGACCAGCGCGCGAGATCACGTGAGATTCTACCCTAATAAATATGAATATATATGTATATATCGTATAATAATATTATATATTACGCTGAGAAAAAAATGCTGTTGATTCAATTAAAATCTATATCACGGGCTGTCACTAACATAAGTAATTAATTCATGTATATTTTTATTGATACAAAAACTTTGATTATTAAAACAATAATCAAAACCTTTGTATCAATAAAAATATACATGAATTAATTACTTATGTTAGTGACAGCCCGCGATATAGATTTTAATTGAATCAACAACATTTTTTTCTTAGTGTATAAATTAATAATTATATGTACCTTTACACACGCACGCACGCACACAAATAAACGTTGTCTTGTTCCTGTTTCTTATATCCGTAATATACGTATTAATTTTTGCATCTCCTCTCTCTGAGCGAACCGCTTATCGCGACTCGTATAATTCCGGCGAGCTAATCCGCACGGAAGTTAGAGTGTTTCATTATTATATAATGAATAGTTTTTGAAGATAAGATTCGTTTTTCGAGAAAATTTAACTTGCTTCATTTTTATGAAAAATCTTTCAATTATATGCGTGCACACATGCACTTACGCGCCCACACACAAACATACATGTATATTAAATCATCAGCACCACCAAACGAGAGAGAAATAGTTTTTATATAAAATCCCGAAAAATTAAATAAATCGATACACCCTATCGAATATTTTCTATTTCCAATTTTGAATGGAAAGAAAATGGGCTATTCAAATCACAGTCAACGTTTTAAGATGGAACGTGACTTTTATTATTACGGATTTAGATTCGGGAAAATATAAGAAACATTTATTTCTCAATAAATTTTTTTTAAGAATGCTTCTATTGACCTTGAAATAAATGAAAAACAAACTTCAACTACTCTTAGTATAACCCACAACTAACCACATATAATTACCATATGTAATGTAACATGTCATTTTTGAAATTCCTAATAAAATGTATCCTTGTTTTCAAATAGATGACACAGATGATTTGAACATACTATTATATATAATATACATATACACAAATAAACAATTAAAATGTTTTTTATTTGTCTAATGTAATAAAGTGTAAATTCAAAGTGCTATACATGCATACGTACGCGCGTGCGCACGCATACAGCACTAAGCATTATATGAATAATAAATAAATAAACAAAGGAATTAGAAAAAAGCATATACCACAACGGTGAATGGAATTTGCGAGAATATAATGTATTTCGTAGAATGTTAAACCAAAATTTTTATTATAATAGCATATACCACAACGGTGAATGGAATTTGCGAGAATATAATGTATTTCGTAGAATGTTAAACCGAAATTTTTATTATAATATTAGTAAACGATTCGGCCTTTAATCTAACCATCATCGGTAAACGAAGAAATTAATTTTTAATATATTACGAAGAATATTACTTAATTCTGGCGTTTCGTCCCAGTTTCCACTACTGGACTCATCAGTAAGACATTGTAGTGGAAGCCTACCTTATACGCCTGCAAGAGTTATTCAATCGAGATTCTATATAAAGAGATATACGCGTATTAAGGGGATGCTGGAGTGTCCTGTTTTATCATTAATTACTTAGTTAAAAACTCGTTTCTCTTAATTGCATTTACGGATAGAAAAATCCTTTTGCATAATTAAAGTATCGACAACAATGAATTGCGCTAGCTACATTTCAATACGAAAAATGGAAAAAAATTTACAGTTTCGTTATCGGCTTCTCACATAATGTGTCGAGTCGACTGCAGAAGCCGATAACGAAACTGTAAGTTTTTAATTTTCTTCCGTTTTTCGTATTGAAATGTAGTTAGCGCAATTCATTGTTGTCGATACTTTAATTATGCAGAAGGATTTTTCCATCCGTAAATGCAATTAAGAGAAACGAGTCTTTAACTAACAATAAGTAATGATAAAACAGGACACTACAGCATCCCCTTAATTGCATACGGATGGAAAAATCCTTCTGCATAATTAAAGTATCGACAAAAACGGAGGGTGCTAGCTACATTTCAATACGAAAAACGGAAAAAAATTAAAAATTTCCAGTTTCGTTATCGGTTTTTACAGTCTTATGCTTCTCAGCATAACAGTTCCGCGATATTTCGATAGCGGCGCTGTCACGAAAAGTACATCGCTGGATTAATAGAAATGATCGACTTGTCAGTCTTGTCATCCGTAACAAAAAGGTTAGCATATCAACGAAATTTACGGATACTCATTCCTCTTATACTAAAGCTTGTAGCTCGTTTCTGCAAGCATAGGATTGTTCTCTCAGGTTTTCTGACGTTCGCTAGCTACATCCTGTGAATGTGCAAGGTCTAAAACTTTTATATGCAGCACATAATGGCCGTTTTCCGCAAAGCGCATATGCGCGCATTCCCCTATAGTATACGTGACGCTCACTATATAAAATGCGTGCATATTGCGTGCATATGCGCTTTGTGGAACGCAGCCAATGTGTTGAGTCGACTGCAGAAGCCGATAACGAAACTGTAAATTTTTTTTCCGTTTTTCGTATTGAAATGTAGCTAGCACCCTCCGTTTTTATCGATATTTTAATTATGCAGAAGGATTTTTCCATCTGTAAATGCAATTAAGAGAAACGAGTCTTTAACTAAGTAATGATAAAACAGGGACACTCTAGCATCCCCTTAAAGCACTTGCGAGAATTTGCGAATATCGATAGACCTCTGATGGCGGATCGACGTAGTAATATTCTTCGCAATATATTAAAGATCAATTTCTTCGTTCTCTTTTCTTTCGTTTTCTTTTTCAATTCCTTTGTTTATTATTAAACCACATTAAACTTATATTATTGTTTATATCTACACGAGCATTAAGGGTTGGATTATACTGGCCGTAATCTGTTAACTTATGCCGTAATCTGTAAAAATTGACCAATTATAATCGATTATTCCCCTCTCATTCGACTGTGATTGGTCAATTTTTACAGATTACGGCATAAGTTAACAGATTACGGCTAGTATAATCCAACCCTTAACATGTGTCTTCAGTCACTCATTTAGAGTTGCGGTTTGGGGGTATAAGTTCGGTGCGTATAAGTTAGGGGGGAGTTGGGGGTAATACATATATTACTATAGATAAATTTGCGTAGAATATTACTACGTCGACCCGCCATCAGAGGTCTATCGATATTCGCAAATTCTCGCAAGTGCTTTAATACGAGTATATCTCTTTATATAGAATCTCGATTGAATAACTCTTGCAGGCGTATAAGGTAGGCTTCCACTACAATGCCTTACTGGTGAGTCCAGTGGAAGCTGGGACGAAACGCCAGAATTAAGTAATATTCTTCGCAATATATTAAAAATTAATTTTTTCGTTTACCGATGATGGTCATATTAAAGGCCGAATCGTTTACTAATAATAAAAATTTCGGTTTAACATTCTACGAAATACATTATATTCTCGCAAATTCCATCCAGCGTCGTGGTATATGCTCTTTTCTAATTCCTTTGTTTATTACTAAACCACATTAAACTTATATTATTGTTAATAAATAAATAATAAATATATAATTAATAATATAAATAATAAAGTGCTATTTTGCTTACCCATTAAGAGCCGATACAGGCATCACCATGCAATCTCTTCTACCAATTAAGTGAGCATTTTGATTGAATATTGGTTTCACTTCTCTGACACCCATACAATCAGGTACATCCTGCTTATTTGCCAGTACCAATAATGGTACGCCAATTAAATGCTCAGATGATATCACCTTATCTTAAAAAAAGGCAAGTATAATGCACATATTTTTACCGTTTGCGCAACATACAGGATAATTCAAAATAAACTTCTGTCCTTGAAATGTTATATTCCTGACTTAATTCTAAGACAATTTTTTCCTTTGCCGAAATTTTGTCCGAAGCTTAGTTTTCAAATTATAACAAAATAAAGTTAGCAAATTACGGGACGCGTAGAAAAGGTGGGTAGGGGCGATGGAACTCACCGTCCGAACCGGGCGGGACCCTCATGTCTTGCTGCGATCAGTCGATTGCTACATACGATAACGTTACACATACAATCGCATTCTCTTTCGCGCGTGCGCGCACGCATGCACACACACAACGCACACAATTACCTCGTAAAAATTCGATGACTTCGTATTGTTGTAGATTCTTCAGAGAGACGGATGATTTTCCATTTCGATGGATCACTTCCAACTCCATAAACATATAATTTATGTCAGGGAATGGAAGTAACTCGTTACTTGTAACGAAGTTACAGTTACAAGTTACTTTTTTGGTAACTGCATTACTTTCTTTTTTTTGATAACTGTAACGGGGGGGAGGGTAACGTAGTTACATTTTTTGGTAAAAATGTAGATTAGGGGAGCCTCCTCCAATGACCTTGACCTTGACATATGTTGTCAAGGTCATGATCCTGAGTGACCTTGAGGAAGTTTTAACCGTCGGACCTAACTCGTTAAAAAGTTATTAACAAAAAAAGTTTCAAAATTAACGTATTATTTCTGCTATACATGTACGATATGAAGTACTATTCTACACCTTTCCCTGTTCAGAAACGTTGAACTTTCCACGAGAAGTAACTTTCACCCCCCCCTCCCCCTGCACAGGGGCACACAACTTCTATGATTGTACTGTTGCTATGATAGTACTGTCGGGGCAGACCTCTGTGACGGTGTGGGTGCGGGGGGGTGGCCGAAGGCCGCCCCCTTGCACCCGCCCGCGCGCGCGCGCGCGCGCGCGCGTGTGTGTGTGTGTGTGTGTGTTCCATTCGTTATATAACGATTATGAGTCTATTACTTGATATTTTACATACACACGTACCGCACACGCACCCGCACACGCACACGCGCCTTCGGCCACCCCCCCGCACCCACACCGTCGACAGAGGTCTATCCCGACAGTACTATCATAGCAACAGTACAATCGTAGAAGTCGTGTGCCCCTGTGCAGGGGGGGGGGGGGGGGGTGAAAGTTATTTCGCGTGGAAAGTTTAACATTTCTGAACAGGGAAAGATGTAGAATAGTGATTCATAAATGGTAAGAAGTGTACCTCTTGTATTCATTTTGATTGCATTTATTCTTGGTCTGTTATATTGTGTGTGTGCGTGCGTGGGTGCGTGCGTGTAAAAATAGTACTTGTTATAATACATATGTGGCAGAAATGATACATTAATACGTATAATTTTCCAGAAATGATACGTTAATTTTGAAACTTTTTTTATTAATAACTTTTTAACGAGTTAGGTCCGACGGTTAAAACTTCCTCAAGGTCACTCAGGGTAATGACCTTGACAACATATGTCAAGGTCAAGGTCATTGGGGGAGGCTCCCCTAATCTACATTTTTACCCATTTTTTGAATAACGGTAACGAAATTTACAGTTACTTTTATCATTACTCTGCATACGAGTAGACACGTTATTCCGTTATATAACAATTATATATTATTAATTATGACAGCTATAAATGTGGTTGTAGGACATTGAGTGTTTTTATTTAATACAGGCGTACAAGCTACATTTAGTTTAACTTAATCTAAACATCGTACACATTTTGTTCTAATTGAGCTGTGTATAAAAGCTTTACTCTGTACATTTTTGTGTACATTTATGTTGAGCAATTGGAAAACACCTCTTTTTGCAAAACTTCTGTTATATATTTTAATTATAGCGTTATAAATTTCTTTCTATCAAAATATTTAGTTTACAAGTTAAAAGTATATATTAAGTAAAAATATAGCTGTATTATTTATAATAAAGAGATTATGCTACTGCTAAAACCGCATGAAACCGTTACTGGAGATCTCTACCGACGGCAACTGATGCGCTTGAGCCGTGCATTGAAGCAAAAACGGTCGGAATACTTCGAAAGACACGATAAAGTCATCTTGCTGCACGACAATGCTCGCCCACACGTTGCAAAACCGGTAAAAACATACCTGGAAACACTTAAATGGGAAGTGCTACCGCACCCGCCGTATTCTCCTGATATTGCACCTAGCGACTACCACTTGTTTCGATCATTAGCTCATGGCTTGTGCGAGCAGAAGTTCACATCTTACGAAGATTGTACAAAATGGCTCGATTCCTGGATTTCATCTAAAGACGAACAATTCTTCCGACGCGGTATTCATTCACTGCCCGAAAGATGGTCAAAAGTAGTAGAAAGTGATGGGAAGTACTTTGATTAATGTATTTTTTAATGTTCATGTGAAATAAATAACATACTTTCATAATAAAAACGCTACGAATTAATTCCAACACCTAATACATTATTTCAGGAATTATTTTGCACTTCTATCTTCTATGATATGTGATACATCGGACATACATGTATGTATATCTCAGTTTGCTGCATATTTTACAAATTTTACAGAATTATGTTAAAAAAAAAAACTAAAAAATAAAGTGTCAATGTTATACATGCTATATATATATTGCTTTTATTAACGTTTAAAGAAAAAATACTGCAAAAGTACATTTTCAGACTGATTTTTAAAAAGTAACAGAAAAGTAACGGAAAGTTACCTTTCGAGTAACGGTAACTGTAACGAGTTACTTTTAAAAAGCGATAATTAGTAACGGTAACTGGTTACTTTTTTTACTCGGTAACACGTCTGCCTAGCTGGCCCCACCACTTAACCGAATCTTAATTTAAAAAATTGTATAATGCGCTTATATATCCGCAAATAAAAATTTTTGCGCTCATTCCGATTAGCTAAAAAAAAATTTTTTGTGGGGGGCTGAGTAGGCATTGATTGTGTTTGTAGCGCTGCACTGTCAAAATGCGAACGTGTGATTAGTTGAAATCCATTGATGACAGCAAATTCAATACAAATTGTACCGTACTCAGTACTACAAATATCTCAAAGGATAATTGGATCGATTAATAAGGATAAAGAAATCTATGCTTCGAAGTATTCATAGTAGCAGAGAAAAACCTGAGTGGACATCGTAACCTTTTTCATGTACCAAATCTCATAGGATAATGTCCACGTTTTTGTGGTTCTTTTCCGTACTATTACGTTGGTTAGACAAAGATAAATAATCAACTTTGATGGTTCGTCCTTGTCTAACCCACGTAATAGTATGGAAAAGAACCACAAAATGTGGACATTACCTTATGAGATTTGGTACATGTAAAAGGCCAGGATGTCCACTTTCAGATTTCTCTCTTATAGTAGACCAGCTACAAAACCACGAAAAAAAATTAATTTCATACGACACTACATGAAATGTAAGAAATAATTGGATTCATTTTGGAAAAAATCATGACATTTCATTCGAAGTCATCGAATCTTTATGAGGTAATTAATTTTGTTCGTGCGTGTGCGTGCGCACGTGTGTATGTGAGAGAGAGACAGAGAAAGAGAGAGAATGTGATTGCATGTAGGTATATACGCGCCACAGTGTGTAATCGGCTGATCGCAGCGAGATGCAAGGGTCCCGCCCGGATCGGACAGTGAGTTGCGTCGCCCCTGCCTATCTTCTCTACACATCTCGTAATTCGCTAAATTTATCTTGTTATAATGTGAAAACTAAACTTCGGACCACGCACTTTTTATATGAAAAAAACGTTTTCAGTCAATTTACTTGAATTTTTTATATATTTTAGTTCTTGTATCCCTAATGAAATCTCAAGTTACAGGGCATTTCTATGTCTAGTTTCTGAATTAAAAATATTTGAAAGTCTCTTATATGAAGTCTGTTTGTACGTTTGCCTACACAAGTTTGCACTTGTGTACCTATCTATATATGTAACACACACAGACCTCTATATATACTACTAGACTGCTAATTTGTTTTAAAAAGTGGACCCCAATTTCGATTGTGAATTATACGCATGCGTCAAGAACCGCACCGCGTGATCCGTGCGATACATGCGCATACATTAGCACGCTCATACGTATTTTAACAATTAACCTGGGTAAATATTGTAACATTGAAAATGACCTGATCGGAGTAGAAACATTTGTTGTATAGTAGCTACATTATATTTAAATTAAAGTTTTAGTTTTGTTATGTTATCGGCTCTTTGCCCTTTATTATTTTACTTTGATAAATATACTTTAAGTTAACTAATAATTCTTACTGAATAAAACTCAGCTTATCAATACTTTATGTATTGTAACGTTGGAAATGTATTGTAATGTTGGAAAGGCACACTTTGCTAGCATCGTAATTGAAAATGGTTTTTAAATTGTGGTACATATGCTGTAATAATAGGTAAATGTTAAGAAAAGCCCCTTCATCACAACTTTTAATAAAAATATACAATCGATGAGTTTTTGCATGAAACGAAGGAATCTGGCAGAAAAAAGTTCGCTCTGCCTCGCGAACCGAGATATTAAGTATTAAAGCGAATTTATTTTTAAAATAAAATGAATTTCGTAGCTATGACAGATGTACTAACCTACATGGCTATCAACTTTAACGCTTAATATCTCGATTCGCGAAGCAGAGCGACACTTTTCTTTGCCAGATTCTTTCGTTTCATGCAAAACCACATCAATTGAGTATATTTTTATCAAAAGTTAAGGTGAAGAGGGTCTTCTTAACATTTACCATACCTACGGCTACAATACGGCTACTCGCAATATCGCAATCAGCGCAGGACATAGCCAGTTAGGGCTATGGCAGAGAACGAGACGTAACATGCGTAGTGGTAACGTAAGGTAAAGCAGAGAAAAACGTAGCTGTAGTAGTAGTAGTGACTGCGGCAGCACTGGCAGTCACTACTACGACAGCTACGTTTT